AAGGAAAAAAAAAGTATATTATAGTCCTTTCCCTGAAAAGTTATGCATTTCTAATTGAGCTATTTTCTTTTCCCTATTTTTCCTTCTTCCTAATCTTTTCCTTGCTTCTCTCCTTCCTTCCTTCCTTCCTTTCTTTATTTTTTATTTACATTAATATTGCTTGGTTAGAATCTTTCAAATACTCTCTGGCAGTGACCCATGAGCTGGATGACAGAGGTACTGCATTAGAGATGGAACTGGCTGTCAGACATTCATAGTTTCCAGAGATAGCATTTATGAAAGCATTGTTATGATAGCATTGTTCCTATTTATGAAAGTATTTCAGAATGAAAGGAAAATGATCATTTTTATGAGTATACTCATGTGCATGTTTCTTAAGGTAAATCATTTGTGACCTTTGGTGCTTGTCACTTTATTGATATCACACTGTTTGTTATGTGCCTACAGACTGAACATGACTGACTTGCATTATTCGGGAAATTTCAGATATTTCAGTGTGCCATTGTAGGAAGAGGGAGAGATGGTAGGTCAAGGTGATAAGATCTGATTTATTTTATCATTTTAAAAGTAAAATTGTTTCCACCACAGAATTATATACAGCAAATATCTATTGAGCACAAATGTTACTCTAAATAATTTACATGTATTATTTCGCTCATTTCTCACAACTATAAGAAATAGGTTTCATTGTCCTCATGGGTTTGCAAATGAGGAGGCTATCCAGAAAGGCTGAGGCTGCAATCCAGAAAGTAGAGAATCATTTGAGTTCAGGATCTAGACTAAAAAGAAATATTGGAAAAAATCAGTTTCTATACACAATTCTTTAAAAAAAAGTAAATTTAAATTTAAGCTTTCAAAAGTTAAGTAAACACTAAGCAAGGAACTCCAATTAAACTGAAGCCCTGATGGTGGAACTGGGAAGCCCCTCTGGGAAACTGTCCTTGTCAGAGCTCTTCTTCCTAATCCTTTTTGCATAGTCTAAGTCTACCCCCTTTTGTCTGGGCATTTTAAGTTCTAAAGAGAAGACCCACCTGACTGGGCTAGGTAGCACATGACAGCAATTCCAGCACTGAGGAGGCTGAGACAGAAGGATCACAATTTTGAGGCCAGCTTGGGCAATTTAGCAAGACCCTGTCTAAAAAAAAAAAAAAAGAAGAAAAAAAAAAAAGAAAATGTGGGGGGATACTGGGAATGCATCTCAGTAGTAGAGCACCCCTATGTTGAATCTCAGTTTTGCAAAAGAAAAATTCAAAATAGATATAGGAGCTAGTACCAGGAAGTCAAGGTCCATTATGATAAGTAAAAAGAAGACAAGGCCTTGATGACCAGGACTCCACTCCTTCCTGACCTGCTCCTCCTTCCCTTTCTATAAAAGCCCTTTATGCCTCAGGCATATTCCCACTCAGAGATGGAGTTTTGAGTTATTCCCTGAATCTTCTAAAGATACTGGCCCTTTATCTCAAGATGCTGCCTCTTGGTTCATTATGTTGCACCTGCCTGTGATCCTAGCTACTTGGGAGGCTGAGACAGGTGGATCACAGGTGTGAGGCCAGCCTGGTCAATTTTACAAGACCCTGCCTCAAAATAACAAATAAAAAGGACTGGGGATGTAGCTCAGTAGTAGAGCACCCCTGGGTTCAATTCCCAGTACAGCCAAAATAAACAAAATCCTGAATTCTTCCTTTCAACTCTCATCTCCTGAATATTGACATTCAAGCATTGGGTAGCCAGACTTTCATTTCAGTAACATTGGGAGGATAAAAGTTAAGGTGATGAAGCATTGATTATGCCTGTTCTTAAACAGCATGAAGGCTTGTTTCCAGGTTTTGTGGCCTCAGTGACCGTCTCTAAAATTTGGGAGACAATGAAAACAAGAATCAGCGTAGGTAAATCTTAGCCAGGGTAATGCTCAGGTAATGCGAGAAAACTTTTATCAGGCAAGAAAGTATCTTTGCAGGGATTTTTTTTTAAGAAGAAACTTTATACAAATGTTATTTGAAGAAATCTCAGTTTAAATAACATCACACACATTTTAAGAAACTTTTATCCTAATTTCATGCAGATGAACTAAGCATTCACTAGAAACTGTTTATATACACAATCTTATTAAATGTGATTCTGAGAAAAGTGATTCTGTTTTATTACCTTTCATACTCCTCTCTTTCAAAGTATATAGATGTTAGAATGAAAATGGCTACTTAATATGGAATACAAGGACAATAGTGTAATTGGCATAATTTTTCTATGGCTTGTTCACTTGTGGCACTTTTACATTGATAGTTCACAGACATTTTAAAATTATTAGTTGTTTCCTGGAATCTTCAGTTATATTTAAGGTGTTCCATTCTCAAATAGCCACAATTGTGAAATGCGGTATTTTTACTGTTATGAGATATATCTCAACTATTTGATTTTAAAAGTAAAACACTGAAGAACATTGGACAGAACCAAAATAATAACATAATCATCTAATTTACCCCTTCTAGCCATGTGATTCTGAGGTCATTTAAACTTCTCTTGACCTATTTCTTGCAAATGATAGTGTTCCATAAGTTGGACCTAAACTCTCTCCAAAACAGTATCCCTGTAAGTCACTTACTCATACCTTATTCAGAATAGCTATTAGTGAAACCATAGAGTTAACAAGCATAATAATATTAATTTACTGTTTCATTTTGTCATGGAATCAAACATATTTTACATGTTATTATTTTTCTACATATGGATATTTAAGTCTCTAAAATTACACATATGTCTTCAAAAGTGACTTATCTTTTATTTGAAATTATGAAACATTTTAGATATATAGTAAACCAGATAATAAATATAAGAGACATCTAAGTTAATACCAATTAAACCCTTTAACATTCAAGTGTAATTTCAAATTTAAAACATATAAATTTACTGTTAACCGATTATAGTACCTAAAGCTCTTTACTAAACTAGACAATTATTTTATTGTCCCACAGAGAACACTTAAAAGTAGCTTATTCACTTTTTGAAATCTTACGTTATTTTAGATTCCAAATAATTTAGGGGTAGTTACAATGCATTTGAAGTTCTGATAGGTATTTTGATAAGCTTTTGTTAGTAATTCTAAATTAATAATTATATTTTACTCATATAGATATCAGTCATTCAATGGAAAAGACTTTTGATTTTGCCTTATATGATACAGTATTTTTTATCGGAAGTCCACAGAGGCTGACTCTTCAGAGGATACAAATTTAATTCTGAAAGTATACTTCTCTTTTTCCTTTTCCCTTTATCTGTCTTCTGGGTCCTTTTGTTACCCAAGGGCCTAAAATTACACAATTTAAGAGTAGCCAAATTTAAATGGAAAGCCCAACGTTTGAGTTACTTTCTTAATTTCTGTTTTTATCCTTTAAAATCACTGTGTTCTCATTTCTCTTTTTAATGACAGCCTCTAATAATTTTAAAATGGAATTGTTATATACTTGTTCAGTTTGGGATTCACAAAGGATTGAAATTAATATCTCTATATACATGTCTAGTCAGTTGTTATATTGCTAGATTACTGATTTAATGATCAAAGTTGATTTTTTTTTTGTTGGTACCAGGAATTAAACCCAGAAGTGCTTAACCACTGAGCCACACACCCAGCCCTTTTGTGTTTTATCTAGAGACAGGGTCTCACTGAGTTGCTTAGTGCCTTGCTCTTTGCTGTGGCTGGCTTTGAATTTGTGATTCTCCTGCCTCAGCCTCAAGAGCCTCTGGGATTACAGGCATGTGGCACCATGCCTGGCTGATCAATGTTTTTGAGTTCCTAATTTTCAGGAAAATATACTAAACCTCTGACATGTCTATACCCTTGCTCTGAACCAAAGAGTTTGCAAAGTAGCTTTGCAGATATGATTGCCAATTTACAAAGTAATTCAACAAATTGGTGTTATTATCTCTCATTTATTCTTGAGCAAGTTTAAGCTGAAAATGTTGAGGTAATTCTCTAGTCTGATAGCTTGTAAAAGAATAGTTTTAAACCTAGGGGTACAGGGTACTGTACTTAAGAATCCTCCTAAATTAATCTACTCCACAGCTCTAAATTAAAAAGGCTGTGTCGCCCTTTAAAAAAATGTGTATGAAGATGTCTTATAGAGAAAGTGAAAAATCTTTTGTAAGAAGTGAATAGGATACAATGATAATTTCTTTTAGAGCAGAAAACTGTTTTCTATCAAATGTTTCGAAATTTACTCCATCATGGAGTCGATCTAAAATATCTTGAAATGTTTGAGCAAACATCCTTTAAGTGAAGGATGTTATTTTTATTTTTCTCCAAAAATATGACCTATGGGGAAGTGACAATAATGTTGGTTCAGCAATTAATAAAACAAAATGCTAGATTATAGCTCCAGTTGTACTACTTTATCATACACTTTCGGATATGGAACTCAACCTTTGACTTTGTTACCCTCAAAATGAAACAAATAATTTCTGCCATACAAGATTGTGAAAAAAAAAACTAAATAAGATAATACATGTAAAGATGCCTTATAATGTAGACAACCATCATTTTTGTCACAATGGCTTATATAATAAAGGATTCTAAATTTTTTTTCAATCTAAATTTGGGAAATCTATATTAAAGATACGTTTTATAAATAATAGTTATTATCTGAGAGTACATGTATACTAGGCTTATCTCCTCCTTGATTCTTTTTCTCAAAATAGGAGTAGATTTCATTTTTATTATTGGAAAAATCATTTTATACATATAAGAATTTGAATTATATTGTTTTCCTTTTGACCTATAGATCAATTGACCTGTGAATGAGTATATTCATCACATTAACCATTGTTTTATTTGAAAAAAAAATCTACCTAAATATACATGGAAGGTTTCTTTTCATCTTAAAAGATCTTCAGTAGAATGATTTCCCTAGTGAATATCACCATGTCTAAGAAGTTTGTCCAGCTGCTGATTTTAAATCTTACTTTGACTGAAATTGTTCTAAGTGGGAACGTGCTAATTTGGCCTACAGATTGTAGCCATTGGTTAAATATTAAGATTATAATAGAAGAGTTGATTCAAAGAAATCACAGTGTCACCGTACTGGCTTCATCAGAAACTCTGCTCATCAACTCCAGTCCTAATTTTCCTGTGAAGTTTGAAGAGATACCTGTTTCTTACAAGACAAGAAATCTAGACTCCATAATTGAACATATGATAATGCTGTGGATAAACCACAGACCAACTCCTTTCACAATGTGGACTTTCTACAAAGAACTAGGAAAACTCCTAGATACTTTTTTCCAAATTAATATACAAATCTGTGATGGTGTATTAAACAACCCTTCATTAATGGCAAGACTTCAGAATGGTGGTTTTGATGTGTTGGTAGCAGACCCAGTTACAATCTGTGGTGACCTTGTTGCTCTCAAATTAGGAATCCCATTTATGTACACATTAAGGTTTTCTCCAGCCTCAACAGTGGAGAGAAACTGTGGGAAAATCCCTGCACCAGTGTCCTATGTTCCTGCAGCCTTGTCAGAGCTCACTGACCAGATGACCTTTGGTGAAAGGGTTAAAAATACATTATCTTATTCTCTACAAGACTATATATTTCAATCCTACTGGGGAGAATGGAATTCATACTACAGCAAAGTACTAGGTAAGTCTCTAAAATTATCTTTCATTAATGACTCCAGATATCTTTCATTTTTATTGTCCACACAGCAAAAAATTTCCATCCTTGGATGCATAAGCAGAAGTAATTGGACTTATTATATCTCTATAAAATTCCCTATTGTCTTTGGATAAATTCCAAAAATAAAATGAGATGGTGGTATTAAGTTGTATGCTATTCTCTGTCTCTCTCTCTTTCTCTCTCTCTCACCCGCCACCCTTGGATACTGGGGATTAAACCCAGGGCACTTCACTGAGCTACATCCTCACCCCTTCAAATTTTTATTTTTTAATTTTTAGACAGGTTCTTCCTAAATTGCCAGGACTGGCCTTGACCTTGTAGTTCTCCTGCTTTGGCCCCTGAATAGCTAGGATTGCAGGCATGTGCCACTGTACCTAACTGCTGATATCTCTTAATGGAAATAATGCTGTGTGTTTTAAGATAACAGTTTCACAGTGTAGTAATAAAACTTCAAATATATAAGTATATTTACTAGAAAAAAATATGACATTGCCCCCAAAGTGGTCTGAAAAATATTTTGAGGTAATAAATAATTTACTTTCTCTTCTTTAGTCTTCAGTCTTTACTTTGTAGAAAAAAACTCAAAAAACTTAAAATTAGATATTAAAGAACCTGACAATACTCTACTCTGCCTCTCAGTATCCATCATTAGGGTTATTGGTTTATGTGGGCTAGTGAGCTCTCAAAATAATCTTTCTGTATCCTTTAGCAAGCCTCAGGTTTCCTTACTTCATAGATTTCTTATAAGAATCAAATAAAATAATGTCAATTGTTGAAATAGTTATGGTGTTTTTTATATCACTTTTCTTTCTCTCATGAGCTTTCATTCCTTAATTTTTTAAAAATTTATTTTATTCTAAATGATTTTTACTCCATATCTGTCAGTATTACCCAGGGATGTTACTTAGTAGCAGAGATTAACAGTTTAAGCTACCAGTTGTACTTTCTTACTAATATAATGTACACAACCATATCCTTTTCTGCTCCTTTTGCTCTCACTCCCTACCTTCCTCCTTTCTTTTCTCCTTTTCTTCCCTCTTTCTTTTGTGGACTTTTTTTTGAAAAAAAATATTTATTTAACCCCAATATATTATCTGTCAGTTTTCTAGGTATTAGAAACACAACAATGAGCAAAGTAGATAAAATCTCTACCTCTATAGAGCTTACATTGTAACGAGAGGAGACAGTATAAAATAAACACATAAAATGTAAAGGATGTCAGATATGTATATATGCTATATAGTAAAAAAAAAATGTAAAACAGAGTTCTGGAATATTCTTCAATCATCATCACTTAAAATTTTTAAGTTTTCCATAGAATTTGTCTAGAGAGAAGATATTGTACATATCACACATATAAAATGTGTGTAAAGTAATTAAAATTTGCTTATGATTTTGGAGGGATAGCAATTAGAATTTTGTAAGTAAAATCATATATTTTGTGTTCCTCAACTATATTTTGGGAGACTTTTAAATTTTATATACCACAAAAACACATTTTGATTTAAATTAAGATGTTATTCTCCTGATTATTTCTCAAGATATCTGGAATGTATTCTGTAATACTTATCACTGCCCATACGTATATCACATACTGACTATTGGAGTACTAAAGAAGATAACAAAACACTTTCTTTATAAGAAGATTACAAAATCAAGATGGTGAAGGTCTTGGAAAGCCCCTGAGGTTCTGGGTTCTGGCTACTCTTGCTTACTGTCTAATGAGCAAGTTACTTAACTTCTAATTTAAGTGCTTTCTCGTTATCAAAATGGGGATAATAATTTTACTGCATTATTTAAGAAGTTAAATATGATATATGTGGAATACTGTGTCAATTATAATGAATTATGCTTATATTGAATCCTTTTTTTTTTTTTAACCAAACTACTCAGGGGCTTTTAAATAACAAAGTGTTAATTACACTACCATGGGGCTCTATACATAGGAAATTGTCAGTAAATACCTTCAAAACCTAAATGGCCTCTAGTTTGCAATAAAGATTTTTTTTTCTCAAAGGAAGTGTAGACAAATTATATAATCTGTGAAAAAGCCTTTGTAAAAGAAAAAATTCCCAGCTTCTCATGTTTACAAGGATAATAATCTAATTTCAGAAATCCTACCTTTTAAGAAATTAAATATCTTATTTACGTAAATCTCTTATGCTCCTCATCTTACAAAAATATTTGAATAACCATAACTGTCTTAAATACTTTATTTTAGTATACTGCCAAGAAGAACTAGTAAAATCTACTTTGTCTTATTTCACAATTTCATTGTTGAAGTATTAGCAACATCCTGTAAGTAGACACTGATACTGAAAAAGTGCAGATATCTTAGATTTTATATTATTGTGTTTGAACACAGGAGATTTAACTGGTCAAGTTTCTGTGGAGTTTTCCTTACAATGGTTGTTTTTCAGTTTTGTGTGTGAAAAACAGACAAGGAAAATGATATGTTTAACCATGCTAAATAATAATTGCAAATGTCTTAAAGACGAGAGATAAGTAGCAAGAACAGAACTAACCACACTGATCCAGAAGCCTCTTTTCTGTATTAGGAGATCTTAAATCTTATGGATGAAGTGATAAAATTAATCTCTGTTTTCAAATATTCTTCAAACAGCTAATGAAGAAGGAATATTAGGGAATGTGAAAATCATTGCTACCCATATCGAGAAGTAAATTTGTTACCCAAGTCCTAGGGGAGAGGCCCAATTGTGGGGATGCCAACAAATCAGGTCCAGCCACTTTTGTCAAAAACCAAGTGAAAAAAGTAATGGTGAAAAACAGGAAAGGAGTTGTAATCAGTGTAGCTTCACCAGGAAGATGAGGGTACACATGTTCTTAGCCCTGTCTTCCAAGGCACTGACAGGAGCTTCCGAGGTAATTATTATTTAGACAAGGTGAGCCAGAAATTGCATAATTAAGCAGCAGTCTTGGCTAAACTGGTAAGGTTGACCATTATCTCAGGATTGGTCAACTGGGGCCTTGTCAATAATAGGAAAGTTACTGTTACTTGGGGGTGGTTTCACCTCATCGTAATATGTATTTGATCTGAACTGTTGCTCCTGGGATCCAAGGTGATGCTGAGCAAAGAAGACAGGCAAAATTGAGTCAGATAGATCAAGCTTGTTATCCTGCTTTTAATGACCTAGTAGACCTTTGCAGACCCAGGGAAGAATCTAAGTTTTTCTTACAAATCTATTAATAAATCTGCCTCAGTCCAAGTGTCTGGTGTGAAACCTTCAAATTGCACTGTCTGATCTCTTTAGAGATCAACTTCTGAGAGATCTTTGTACAGTACATAGATAGATTTCACTTGGATAGTATTTTTTTTAAAGAGAGAGAGAGAGAGAGAGAGAGAGAGAGAGAGAGAGAGAGAATTTTAATATTTATTTTTTAGTTTTCGGCGGACACAACATTTGTTTGTATGTGGGGCCACACGCATGCCAGGTGAGTGCGCTACCACTTGAGCCACATCCCCAGCCTACTTGGATAGTATTTGAGGATGAGTTTTGCTAAGCTATAGAAAGGCTGAGTCCTGGATACCAAAGTGAAAGTGGTTAAAAAGATAAGGCAACTGGAAGATCCCACTTTGCCAGTTCTTCCTGGCAGTATAGTAAGATAAAATATTTAAAATATTTTTAGTTTGTGATCCGCCAAGAATATCTGATCCATTTTTTTACTCAGTTATTTTTGTGGGTACTGCTCTTACATATTAGGCCTTTTTTTCCAGTTTCCTTTTTTTTCTTATTTTTTTATTGATACATATCAATAAAATTACCAAAATTATCTTTTTAAAAATAATTACCTTTATAAAATTACCTTTACCTTGACCAAAGGACTAAATTTTTAGTACTTTTTAATATACTGTTTGACATTCAGTAAAAGGGGCTTCTTTCTACTAGATGTCTTAACAAAAGAGAAAGTAAACATCATAATACAAAGCAAAATCTAGTGTATATTCTTTATTTCTATAGTATAAACATTTCTCATTTCTCATTGTTTTTCAAATGTATTCTCTATGAAAAAAAAGGCAAACATATCCTTGCAACAAAACTATCATTGCTTATAATGTAACCACTGTTCTATGAAAAAAGGCTGAAATTGTACAGAGACTGTCTTAAACCTATCAAAATAGCTACAAGCACGTAAAGAGAATTAAGGATATTTCTGTTTCCTGTATTATTTGTAGATAACCTTCCAACATAAAAATTTTGAAAAATGACTTTATCTCAGAGACGAAAATTAATAGTAACACCATTAGTGCTATAAATTTGGTCCTTAATTGCTGTGGTTTGGATAGGACTTGAGTATGTCCTCCAAAATTTCATGTGCTGGAAACATAGTTCCAGTGTGGCAGTGTTGAGTTGATAGATCACTTAAGAAATGGGGACTAGTGAAAGGTTCTTCCACTAGTGGAAGGTTCTTGAGTGACTGGGGACATTGCATTATGTAATATAGTTCTGGAGGAACCAGGTTAGTTTCTGTGAGAGCAAGTCAATATAAAAAGAACAAATCTAGTCCCTGTGCCCCTCTTGCTCTCTGCCTTGCCCTGTGATTGATCTTTCCTTCTTTCATGTGACTCTTCCATGATTCCATCCACCATTTGGTGATGTAGCCAAAAGGCCATCATCAGAATGTGTGGGCATTAGACTTGATCTTGGGCTTTAGTTTCCCAAACTGTAAGCTAAGTAAATACATTTTCTTTAAATATTACTTGGCCTCAGGTATTTTGTAATAGCATTAGAAAATAGAATAAGACATAACTTTTGTGAAGACTAGTTTTTACTTTTGTTATGATATCAAATCATCTTTTGTATTTTATTACTAAAGTAGCTATCTTGTCCTTTAAGTCACATTGACTTAACATCTTTAAATTTATTGCATGCTGTTTTTACATTTTCAGAGACTAGAATTTTGTTTATTCTGTTTGCATCTTGAAAATTAACCATTAGACATAT